GGCGCCGCAATCAACCGAAACGCTACCACCGGGCACCGGTCATCAATTCACTCACTCTTATCACTAACATTCCGTTTTATTGAAACTAATTAGGGAGTCTAAGCTCGAGTATTTTGGTGCTTACAAGCCAGTGACTCTTCGGAAAAAGGACTAACTGGTCTCTTTCTTGATGCAATTGTAAAATTATTTGACTTAGACACAAATGATTATCGAATTCAAGGGTACAATAATAGTGCTAACATGGCAGGAAAATCAAAGGTGTTCAAACCAGAAATTGACACAATATTCTCGGACATTTTTCAATCCATGTGGTTGAAGTTACCCCCCCCCCCCCCCTCAATTGCATGCACTATTCCCGTAGCCACCACACCCAGTACTACCACACCCAACACCACCATGATAGGAACGACACACCACTCTCGATAATAAGTTACGTGTTTCGCTACACGAGGCAGCCACAAGTGAAGTAGTATCTGCGGTGCCTGAAGAATAAATGAGCGGCGAGCCGAAACAGGTACTATTTCTACAACTGGCTGAGCAACGAGTTGTATAAATAGCAGCGTATGACAAGCGGAGAGAATGCAAGGAGTGGTGGTGATGGGATTAGTGGTAACGAAGATAGTGTCAGATTCCGTAGAGTCTACTTCATCTGAGAACGCCTCGTGTAGAGACGAAACACATATCGTATTATCAAGGGTGGTGTGTCGTTCCTAGTGTGGTGGTGCTAGGAGGGGTGGCGCTGTGATTGCTGGTACTGGGAGGGGTGGCGCTGGGAGTGGTGGTGCTGGGAAGGGTGGCACTGGGAGTCGTGGTGCTGAGAGTGCTTGTGTTGGAAGTGGTGGTGAAGGGGATAGTGCGCGCCACTGAGGGAGGGTGAGTGGTGGGTACTCTTCAGACTGGGCAGGACACATCATTGTATTTTATTAAAGTAACGCCTGATTCTTTTAATTATCGAAAAAGTTACGTATTTTTGCATAACAATCGATCAACAACTAACGTGGAACTCTCCCCTTAGCTACGTATGTCATACGGCTAAAATGTTAAGTACGTACAGTCGTATAGTTGGGAACAACTGGAGCTTGGGTCCCTGTATGGTCCTATGGCTGTACAGCAGCATAGTAAGGCCGATTATTTAGCATACGATAGAGGCGTAGGTGACGCCTCCATCGTCTGGTGTAATAAGGCCCACCAAAAGACGACTGCGGACAGACAAATTAGTCTACAAAGGACTGTCTGCTTAATGGCAATTGGAGTGATGAGATCATGGCTTGGAGCAGCTCTTAATGCACTTCTGTGCCTAACACCCCTTGATCTTTATGTAGACAGAGAGGCAAGGGCTTATTTGTATAGGATTAACGCCCAAGGCGCTCTGCGCTTCCTTTCCTAAAAATTGAGATCCATGCTCGACTTTTTATTAAGAAAACACGGTTCTTATGCATGATCTCAGATATCATGCGTGCACTATACACTTTTGATAAAAAGTATATAGTGCAACTACCCTCCAGAGATGTCTAGCTAAATGGACAGGTTATCTGTGAGGTCGGTAGCCTTATATGGTACACCGATGGGTCAAAAATGGGCCTCGACGTAGGCTATGGAATTTATAGGGAATGTCTCAAATTCTTATGTGTGTATGTATAAATTCTCAAAACTATATTAATTAGGATAGATTCACCTCCACCTTCCGGGCAGAAATTTTAGTCGCAATTCTTTTTCTTTGAACTAGAAGCTAGTTGGAGACTGCTTGAACCGTTTCAACGCCCTGGTATGTAATAACATGGTCGTCTTAAGATGGGTTCCAGGTCACGTGGATATTGTAGGCAACGAATTTGCCGACAAACTTTCACGGGAGGTCTCAAAGAGTACACAATATGGACTTGAGCCGATTTGTGGAATCTAAAAAAGCCTAGCCCGATTGACCCTTAAAACTCTTAATCATAATAAATTACTTAAGATTTGGTCTGATACACCAGACTTAAAACATTTTAAAATCTTCATCCGGGTTTTTGATCGTAAGTTCGCTTTAGAAGCCATGGAATTAGGTAAAAATAAACTGCGCATTCTGGCAAGAGCCCTGACTGGACACCGTTGTCTTAAAAAGCACATGGCTATCCTGGGACTAAGCAAATCAAGGATGTGCTGGTTTTGTTCCTTAACTGAAGAAATGCCTCTGCGCATTCTGACTGATTGTGAACCCTTAATGCACAAACGTAACACATCTGGGAAACCATCAACTTCGCGAAGAAGTGAAATTGCTCACAGCTAAGAAACTCGTATTCGTACTATAGCCATAGCAGCGATCACAATAGATAAATGCTTCTAGGTCGCAGGGGCACTGATTTTTCTAGGCCTTCTATAAAACCGTTCACTGGTCTTAGTGGCCGCATCGAATACTTCTGGTGTGTAACCGCTAAATGTGGAAGATATCATGTTCGTGGGGTAATGGAATTATGGTTAACCTTCTCAGTGTAACCACTACCGATGAGATTATCGATTTGTTTATCTTTTTTTTTTTTTCAATTCTGCATTTTTATCAAGCTTCTTCTCTATATTGAATAAACGAATTTTAGCTTGCACTCTATTTGACGGAATAATTTAATTATCAGACTGCCATAACAATCCCGCTTCGAACCTGTAACCCGGCAAGCGACGTGTCGTGTCTTTTAAAACATTCAATCCCCGCTCCTCGGGGTCATTAATCGGCTTACGCATGGTCATACCTAATGATGCAAGATCGAAATGATCTTTAATAATTGTTAATAGTAATTGAGTTTTCTATTACCTGTTCTTTCTTGATGAAAATATGGTTAACAATCTTAATCGGCTCACCACCAGGCATGTGACCATGAAGAACCTAACCAAGTTTGATGAATGATGCTACAGTAGGAAGATTATTATCTCCTGAAATCAATTCACGAGTAACTATAAGATACCAATTGTCATACCGATTGAGGAGAAAGATTAAGTGATTTAATCCTTTGCACGTTTGTCTACTCTAATTCGCGTGTGAAAATTCTTTTTTATTTTAATCTTTAATCTGAACTATTGTCGCTAATTTACTTACCACCGATGCCCTGAATACGTTGTTCTTCTTTCGAACTTCGGGGCACTAACCTCTGAGCGGATCTTCTATAAGAGTCTTGTTCAAACGCTGTAGTCCTGACCTTACCACCAGGTCCATACAATTAGACCGGAATAATCTTTCAATACGCACATGCTAGTGCATTTATTGTACTAACAGTCGTAATATGCGCTTGCTTGCCCAGGACAAATGTTTGTGTGATGAGCACGATCATTTGTTCCGTATCTGGGTGTAATTTATCTATAATATTTATGTATTTAGAAATATATAAGTACGTTTATCAGTTGTCTAGTACCCATAACACAAGCTCTGCTTAGCTTGGGACTACATGGCGTTGTGTGATAGTTGTGGAATATTATTATTATTATATTATTATTGTTAAGGTATCTGTATAGTTTTCTCATCTGGTTGGTTTTTATAAATATAATTTAAAATGAAAAGATAAATATACATAAATATCAATAAAATAAAATAAATACAAAAAATATACAAATAAATAAAGATCCAACCATATTAAATAAAAAATAGTCTCCTATCTTTCTCTCTATGTTTTGATCTCCTAAAACGAGTTTGAGTTGGTAAAATCAAGGCAAACTTAGGTTAGGGTTGTCAATTATTATTTTGATAATAAAACTAGTAAAATTCCGCGGTTTTATATGCGCAAGCGTGAACGTAGTTAGAACATAATATAACCTTTATGTTTTACATAAATATAATATAAATAAAATTAACAAGTTTATTGCATTTTTATTTGAGTAAGGTGCATCAGGGTAAGATCGTACAAGGGCTAAGATCGTAGGAACTATATTACCGCTGCATTTGGCAATATTTTTAACTGTTGACAACGTAGCGTTACGCGCCATTTTGTTGTGCCCGTCCCATTAGTCTGCGTCTAGCGCTACGCCAAGCCGGGCGGGTGTTTTAATGATCTAAGTGAAGTTATAGACTAGACGTGCTTTTTTGAGAAGATCCGATCTTACCCCAAGGAATTTTCACAGACAATTTGGTAAGTAGTTTTAATTTTTTTACTAGTTTCGTAATTGTTTATTAATGAGCGTTATATGACGGTTTAATTTGATTATTAAAATCACGCTGAAGACGTTTGCGGGCCGAAATCCGATCTTACCCCTCGAAAATATCAATAGGTAAAGATCGGACTAAAAAAATTCGGTCTATACCGTTAAAGTGCTTCTCAAACTTTTTTTAATCTATATTTTACACTACTGGGCAAGGTCCCTCTAATTCGATATATGCACTTATAGTATTTTTTTGGGTATTGCTTTTATATTTTTATTTACTCGGTAGGACTATTTTGAGCAACTGTTGTTAATATTTTTTTCTAATGGGTAGTTATTTATTACCAAATTTTCAGTTTTGCTGATAATGATCGAAAAGGAGACCTAAAATTTTGATGTAAAAGGACAGTAATAATATAACACCAACATTCAATATTTATTGTTTAATAGTTAGTTACGCTGGTAAGGGAAAGACAATACATAGAAATTATGACTGCTTTGTGACGACATTAGCAAAGAGCTTGCAAAGTTATTTAAATACCAGGGATCCACCCTGGTTTCACGCGGGTGATTTCTGGATTTCAACAACAGCGCCACCTACTGGGCCCAATTGTGAATCTTAACCATTCTCGAATTAACTTAATTACACACACAAAAATTCAAAGCTATTTGAAGGAGATCAGTTACATATACACGTTCAATAAATTAAAAACACAGAGATGACTATTTAATACTCATATATATTAAAATTAAAATATAAACACAATACATGAAAATAATTTTAAATAGGTACAAAATTCCTCCAATTTTTTTCGGTCACATGCCGCTTCCCACCAGTCTTCCCGAAAGTTTCCGAAATAAAAATATTTTGCAACAAAATTTTTATTTTTTACAGATTCGCCATGCCTAAAAACTACAGCCGAACATCACAAAGAGCAATTGCGTACTCGCAAAAAGACTTGGAAACTGCTGTAGAAAAAGTAAGAAAAAAAGAACTAACTAACTATGCTGCATCAAAACTTTACGGGATTCCAGCATCTACCCTTAGTGATCGAGTTAATGGTAAAACAGGTTTAAAAAGTCGTACCCTAGGAAGATCACCTGCTATACCTTTAGATATGGAAACCAAACTAGCATCAGGTCTACGTACAATGGAAAAATGGGGTTGGGGCTTATCTAAATCTGAAGTGATTGACATAGTGTCAGAGTTTATAAAGAGAAATAAAATAAAAACTCCATTCATAAATGATATACCAGGGAACGATTGGTTTCTTTCGTTCCGAAAGCGGCACAAGCTATCCATTAAAAAACCTCAACCAATAGAGTACCTCCGAAAACGCATGACAGATCCTTTTGTAATACACGAGTATTTCACTTTACTAGGAAGCACCCTTGAGAAGTTGAACCTAAACGACCCGCACAAGATTTGGAATTTAGACGAGAGCTATGTATGTTTAGATCCAACAAAAAGGAAAGTTGTTGGCGCAGTAGGTGCACGATGCACAAGGACAACGGCTGGATCTGCAAAAGAAAATATTACCGTGTTAACGACTGTCAACGCGGTTGGCATCAAATTGAATCCTTTAATTGTATTTAAAGGGAGCTACGTATATGACCAATGGATGGCAGATCAAAATGAAGAATATGATTTTGAAGTTGCTTATGCTTCTAGCAAACGCGATTGGATGGAGACCGAAATATTTTATAATTACATGGTTAAGGTCATAATTCCAAGTTTAGGAGAAGAAAAACCAGTGCTCTTAATTTACGATGGTCATAGCACCCACGTTGACGAACGAGTCGTAGCATTAGCAGCAGAAAACAACATAACCATTTTAAAACTGCCTGCTCATACATCTCACTTGCTACAACCTTTAGACTTAGCGGTCTTCAAGTCATTTAAAAGTATTTGGGACAAAAAACTTGTGGAATGGCAACGCCAAAATGTCGGATTTAAAATACGTAAGAAAGAGTTTGCTGAAATGTTTGCACAAGCATGGAGTCAAACAACACCAAAAGTGATTCAAAATGGCTTTATGAAAGGAGGTATTTACCCGTTTGACCCAAATGTTATACCAAAAGAAAAATATGACCCAGCGGCTTATAAAAAGATGGCAAAACGAAATGATATATAAAGGTGGGCAAAGAAATTTAGCAAAACTCAAATCGCTGAATCAGTCATGTTTAGACGTCTTAAACAAAGAAATGAAGATTGATCGTAAACTTCAGGACATTATTCACGTTAGCGCTGAAAATCGTACAGAGTCGGTGAATTACGGTATTTCTTTTGAGGAACTGCTTTTAAAAAAAGGTTACGCAAAAACCACAAAACTCAAGACTCAAAAGTCAAAATGAAACGTATAGCAAAAGGAGCGGAAGTTCTAACACACACATATTTTGAGAAAAAAAAAACGTAAAAAATCAGATCACAGTAGAAAAAGAACCACAAATTCAAAATTCAGAATCAAACTCCCATGTACACATTGATGATCATCAAGAACCTGGACCATCGGGAATATCAAAAGAAAAGTGTTCGATTAAGGTAAAAAATAATAAGCCTAAGAATGTTACAAAGAATAAAAAAGAAAAAAACAGCAAAAACACGAAGTCAAAATCTGGGATGAAAAAAGGAGTAAATAAAAAATGTTTAACAAATAACGAATCTACAGAAGTCTTAGATCTTTACAATAAACAAATTATACCAAACGAGAACTCTCCAACTCAACGAATCAATATTAAGACTGAAGGTTGTTTGAAGAAAGGTATTCTCAAACAAAAAAAGAAAACCTTTAAAAAGACAAGCCAAAAACTTGCAGAGGTCTTTAAGCACGACGTCTGAAAGCTGTGAAATGAGCTCACACAGTGATTATGATTTACAAGGCATATTAAGCGATAATTCTAAATTTGTCATGTCTGATTGGTCGGACATAGATGATGAAAACCAAAGAAAAAACACTGATCTAGATTTATTAAAGACATCAGACATTGACATAATAAAAGTATTACAGATTGATGATATAATGGAATTGACAGACACTGAAAACGGCCAAAAAAAGAAGCATTCAACGAGAAATGATAGAACACAAAGAAGCATAAATAACGATCTGAAGATGAATGATAATCCACAAAAAGAAAAAAAATTAAGTGATGAGACAAAATATACAGAACTTAATAATAATAAAGTCACTGTTCTGTCATCAGTTCGATTCACACCTGAAAATCGACCTTTCATTGGTTTAAAAACTTGTGCAACCTTAAAACTTGAACCTGTGGATAAACAGTTTAATTTAAGTTCGAACCTAAAGCGTAAAGATTTACAAGGAGAATCCTTAGATAAAGAAAACACGCCAGTGAAAAGATTAAGAACTCCTGCAATGAAAGTAAAGAGTAATGATAAGGAGTTAATCAAAATCAAAAAACCACAGATTAGTGTAAAATTTGAATATTCAAACAAAACAGCATATGACATGAAGAACAAAACCGAAAAACGACAAAATAAGGTGGGTACATCACAGACAGACGACTTCGAAAGCAAAGTAAGAGAATACGAAAGCTTGCTTTGTGAAAATGGTAAAAAAAGTGAAGAAGAATGAGAACAAAACTGGAGATACCGTCTTAACGCGTTATTATACTAAATCTTGGAAATACTATGTTGGTGTGATTGAAAATGCTTATTTGGCTACAAAAAAATACACTATAAATTATTACAAAATTATCGGCAGAAAAGGAAAAGTTAAATTTGTTGTTCCTAAACGAAAAGATCAAGACTGCGTACCTGAAGTTTCAATCGTTAAAGAAATTGAACTGCTTCAGATAAATGAAGACCCCGATGAGTATGTGCTAATGAACGACAGTGACGAGATTTATTTCTAAAATATTTCACTAGGTACAGTGCATCTAAAAAAATAATGAATGTGGCCGAAAAAACAAAGCTGTGTTGGGAAAGGAAAATTGAAACTCAATTTGTTGTGAATGAATGTATTACTGCTAATAAAAGTGTATCGGAGTACAGAAAATACGGAGATATAGTCTGTCATGACTATATCTCCGATATTTTCTGTTATTATAGATTTGCACGGAACCACAAAGTAGTTACGGTTACACCAGCACCACGCATAATTCGTATAAAGCGTCCATCAGCATAAATACATAAACGCTGAGTATGTAGTAATTTAAGTACACTGTAAGCTAGATTAAGAATTGTAAAAAGGCAATGGGCAGAATAAATTCACATCTCACTCTGTGAACACGTAGTTTTAATTAGTTTTAAATAAGTTTTTAAAAAGCTCTCGGCAGCTCCCGCAACTTGACTGGCGCAGCCGGTAGGATCGCCGGAAAAGCTGTGCCACCGTTCGTGAATATCGTTTATACAATTTTACCCATTTACGCGCGTCGGCGGGCGATTCATACAACGTGGTGATCCAGCGAACCAAACAAATTCGTCAAGAATAAGGAGCCGTGAAGCTGATGATGGGCACTGCGGGCTGGTGAGTACAACTCTTCACCTCCTTCATATCCCTTAGTGAACTTGGAATTAGACATTTTCCATTTTGACTGTTATTTGGGTTTCAAATACTAATCTTACGTAAATTTTATAAAGTATTAAGTGCAACAAATAATTATTACTTGAATAAAAATTAAAATAATAATAATTTAATTGTAACACGTACATATTATTAAGTCCCATATTACAAAATATCTCGAATGTTTAATGAAACTCACCCTGTATAAAAAAAAAAAAAAAAATTATAGAGTAATATTATATTAAGTATTATAGTACATTATATTAAGTTTTTATTGTGTCTACATGTGTTTGTTAATTTAAAGATTACTCGACACGTTAATACGTAATAGGTTAGTACTTATACTTGAATTTTGCTTATACAACATTTGTGGAACTAGTAGAGTTATAATAAATATTTTATTTTATTTCTTATTTTTGTGTAGAACCAGTGAATAAATAATTAAAAATGTCGGAAATTAAACTCATCCCTAATGAATTAACTAAAATAATACCAACATTTAGCGGCGATAAACGCCATTTAAATTTATTTTTGCGTAAATGTGAATACATAATAAATAACTTTAAATCATCCGATGTGCAAAATGAATATATAATGCAAATCATTACTAGTCGTCTTACGGGCGAGGCCGCGTCGCTGTATCAGACGGTGGAAGATATAGAGACGTGGGCGGAATTCAAGGAATTGTTTTTAACTCACTTCGGCGACCCACGTAGCGAAGAATGTTAAGCCATTGAATTAGAAACTTTAAAGAAAGATCAAAATGAGAATTATATAGATTTTTGTGGTCGGATACAATCCGTTAAATCAGTGCTATTATCGAAGGTTAATTAAATTGGTGATAAAAACTTAAAAATAAGTAAAACTATTATTTACAGTAACACCGCTCTGCAGGTTTTCTTATACAATTTACCTGAAAATATGGTGCCCATTGTTAGGCTGAAAACACCCAGTACACTAGAGGAAGCACTAAGGATAGTTCTAGAAGAAGTAAGCTTCTATGACCAATATCAGATGCGTAGTAAAATGTTACAGTCTAGCCATACGTCTAAGCCACAGTCTAGTAGTATACCAGTGCAACAACCATCATTTAAATTCGCAATGCCAACACAGCCTACAGGTTTTAGACCAATGTTAGCACCAAACCAACCCCCTAGGCAGTATTTCGGAACACCACCTCAATTTAAGTTTGGCATTCCCCATAGTAGACAAATGAAGATTCCATTACCACAAAATAAGCCTCAACAGCAAATGAGTTTCCCTAAGCAATATCACCCACCTCAGTTTGGATACCGACCTAATTTTGGATACCGACCAAACTTTGGATTTAGACCCCAGGGCTATAGCCCCATGCAACCAATGTTACCACAACAGTTTGGTAATTCTCAGCGTTTTAATTATCCTAGTAATAATAATGTGCATAATAAGCCGGTTTTTAATGATACCGATGTTTCTATGAGATTTGCCCCTCCAAAGCCAGGTTTCCGCCTAAATGAATTAGAAATCTATCCATCATACTATCCCTACGATTTTCCTGAAAATTAAATGTATGAGGAAACATACGACAATTATTAGGAAGATGAATCCGTACAAGAAAATTCTATAATAGAGGTCGACGAAAACAATGATTCAGAGGATAATGACATGTCTGCACAGACTGAAAATTTTCAAGTAAAAGCCTCCGAAAACCACCCGAAATAATAGAATTAAATTGCGACATAAATCTAAAACTACCATACATATATACCGGAAATAGTTGCTAATTTTATGATAGACACAGGAAGCACCCGTTCTTTTATAAGCCCCGATAAAGCATACCAATACTGCCAAAATTATATAAAAAATGAACCCTTTGAAGTTATAAGAACTCATGCATCTAGCAAACACGATCAGGTAATTAAAATTCCACTATTTTCTATATTTCAAAGTAATGACGAACATAAATTTTATCTTTATAATGTCGATTCACGTTATGATGGGTTAATTGGGAATGATTTATTAAAGCAGTTGGAAGCTGTAATAGATTTAAAGAAAGAAGTACTTACCACAAATTCTTCTAGAATACCTATAATACACAATAGCTTAGATTATGTTGTAATACTTCCACCACGTTCTGAAGTTAGAGCAAAATTACCTGCTAACAAGTTTTATGGCGAAGGAATATTAAATTATACCCGATTCTGTGATGGAGTGCGCATGCCTTCTGCATTGGTAAAATGTGAGAATGGATATGCCACTACAATTATACAAAATACGTTGGATCAACAAATGAAATTATCTATTAAGAAACCTTTTGAAATTTATGAATATGTGGATGATAAATCGTATGTTAATTCTAGAGATCACTCTGATCTAGAAACGGACCAGTTATTGCTTGAAAATTTAAACAAGTTACGCCTAAACCATATGAATGAAGAGGAAAGACGGAGCATTCGTAAACTATGTGAGGAATACAAGGATATATTTTATTGTGAACAGATACCTTTGAGTTTTAGTAATCAGGTTAAACACTTCATTCGGACTAAAAACGAGGACCCCATATTCACAAAACCTTACAGACAGGCCCCCGCACAAGTAACAGAGATAAACAAGCAGGTCGATAAACTTCTATTAGATAATGTAATTCAAGAATCTTTCTCCCCATAGAATTCTCCCGTACATCTTGTCCCGAAAAAGGCTGATACTTCGGGCGAAGTTAAATACAGAATGGTCATAGATTACAGAAGGCTAAATGAAATTGCAGTTGATGATAAATACCCACTTCCAAATATCGCAGACCTTTTCGATAAGCTAGGTAAGAGCACATACTTTTCGACACTCGACCCGGCAAGCGGCTACCACCAAATTGAACTCAATGAAGATGACCGACAGAAAACTGCCTTCAGCACCCAAAATGGACACTATGAGTTCCTGAGGATGCCATTTGGCCTAAAGACAGCCCCCGCCACCTTTCAAAGGGCTATGAATAACGTCTCAAGAGGTTTGCAAGGAATCCATTGCCTTGTGTACCTAGACGACGTTATTATCTTTTCCGCTAGTCTACAAGAACACATGGAGAAACTCCGTACAGTTTTTGACCGCTTTCGAAAGACTAACATAAAAATACAATTAGACAAATCCGAATTTTTCCGAAAAGAATTTTATATCTTGGACACACCATAACTAAAGACGGACTGCGACCAAACGATGACAAAATTAAAGTAATACAGAACTATCCTCTTCCTAAGACAACCACCGAAATCAAAAGTTTCCTTGGGCTGATTGGATACTATAAAAAATTTATAAAGGACTTCGCGAAAATCACGCAGCCCTTAACGGCGTGTTTAAAGAAAAAGAAATAAGATAATTTTAGACCAAAATTATATAGATGCCTTTATAAATGTAAAGAAATATTGACCAGTGTCCCACTACTACAATACCCGGATCCGACTAAACCATACATATTAACTACCGACGCTTCAAATGTAGCTCTTGGTGCAGTACTGTCACAGGGACCAATAGGGTCGGATAAGCCTATTGCATATGCCAACCGCACACTTAGTGACACCGAATCGCGATACAGCACAATAGAGCGGGAACTTTTAGCCATCATTTGGGCTGTAAAGCATTTTAGGCCCTACTTGTACGGACAGAAATTTCAAATTTATACAGACCATAGACCCCTTGCTTGGCTCTATTCTCTTAAAGAGCCTTACATCAAACTAACACGCTGGCGTTTGCGTCTTCAAGAATACGATTTTACAATAATCTATAAAAACGGCAAACAAAATACCAATGCTGATGCCTTGTCTCGCATAAAACTTAATGCTTCAGATGACGCATCAATGGATGTTAATGTGGATGACGATGAGATACAAAAAGTAATACGCCAACTGAAAGAACTAGAAAAATACAGACCTGAGCCCCAACCAGAGACAGTGATAATTTCAGACTCAGACTCGAGTGTGACGGAACATGAAGAATTGTTCGAAGAAAATTACCCTGTACCATCGGTAACTAACAGTAGTAGAACAGACACGATACACTCAAATATTGAACCTGAGTCAAAAGCAATCCCAATTTTGAGCGAG